ACAGTTACAGTTACATATATAACAAAACCCAAGCCCTCATTTTTACCAAGAAGCGAAAATTTAAGAAAAATCTCTGTTTCTATGCACTTCAATCCCCTGGGCCAAGCAAGTCCCTTATCTCGGGATGACCCTCACTAAAACACTCTCATGGACTCCACATATCACAGCTATTCTACAGAAGTTTCGAACTCGTAAAGTTAGACTCTTCCTTCTAATTGCTCGAAACAGCGTTTTATCCATAGATAATAAGTTACCCATTTATAAATCCATTTTGCGTCCATTACTCTGTTATGCCTGCCCTGATTGGGCCTACTCTAACAGAAATTGTAGGAAAAAGCTTCAAACTGCTCAAAATTTCACGCTTAGGCAGATTACAAACTCATGGTACATAAGAAATCAGAGAATTGACGAAAAACTTAGTCTAATCAGAACATACTACTACAAGATAGCTAAAACGCTTCATGAAAAGCAGAAATGCATCAATAATCCTGTTATTAAAATTGTCAATTATGACCCCAATGATCTCACTAATATTAATCAACCACTTGCAATACTCAACCGCTGGATCAAGTAACCCCCTGCTTGCTAATATGTACTTATGTTTTTATTTACATTGTGTGTAACTAATACTTTAATGCTTTTTGTGTTATTAACTTATGTTTTTGTGCTTATTTTATATTTATCCTTTCGCTTACTACTCCAATAATTTTTGCATTATGTTGTGTTATGTAATTTTCCGCTGCACACTACATTGCTTTGCTACTAATGGATTCGAGGTGCTATCACTCACACTTACTCATACTATAACATGATACTAACTTATTCTTTTCAGGACCTATCACCAGCTCGACGGTTGTGCTTCCAGATTTTATTCATGCCTTATACTTCAGATACATTTCAACTTTGAGAAATTATTTTATACCTTTAAAATTCTTATTTAGAAAAATGCTTGTCAAGCTACCCCTTATTATATACTTAATTATTAGGTTACTCCCTGTTATCTTTCGTAACTCTTTCAAAATGTTCTACATGGGGTAAGGCTTTTAGCCTAGGCACCCAGGTGCCCCGATGCACCGTTCTACTGAAGGATGTGGTTAATTAATAGCCGACACTTCATCCATGTCCTGGTGGGCAGTTGTTGGCATTGCTTCGTTATTACATGTTTTAAGATTTTGTTCAAAATAGTAACTTTTAAACAAAGTGGTATTTGTTAAAAATCTGTTTTTGTTGTTAAGAATAAAATGTTTCTACAGTTATTATAGATTTAATATTTCTAAATTACGAGATATGCATTTTAAAATCACACATGATAGAGAAATATAGTCTAGATCTTATTCAGATTTTTTGGCGACAAATTCCAAAGGAGTATGTTATGTACCTTGTTGCAAGCATTGAGCAAAATTATTCAAATTTTAATTTAAGAGAATATGCAAAATCCTTAAAAGTTTTATATTTTCTTCAATATTTAAATTAGAAAACAGTGTTTTTCATATAATTCTAAGAATTTATGCTTTTTTTTATTAATCATTACTGCCTTACATATTGCAGATTTTAAATGACGCGCGGTAAAACAACTCTTCTTGAAATGATATGTGGAAAGTTGCATTCCGAACTTTACAGTCTGGCAACGCGGGAAAAATGGCGGATTCCCTTGAAAATGAATCTGTAGCTGCGCTTTTGAGCATGAAAAGTCAAGCCAGGCATATACCTACGACTCCATCACCTGTACCTGCACGGAGAGACTGTTCACCCAGAATACGAAAAAGAAACAGGTTGATATATAATGATCATGAGGACACATCGTACACGTTGTCCAGATCATCACCTAGGAAAACAGTCCGTGTTGCTTCTCCTACGCCTACTGCAGTTGTACAGCCTTTGCCGGATAAACGCGTAGCGCAAAAAGTCGGTCTTAAACTTCGCAATCTTCTAAAGTTACCCAAAGCGCACAGATTTTTATGTTGCGAATGGTTTTATTCGAATATTGACCAGCCACTTTTCCTTCGTGACAGTGATTTCTGTAGTTGTTTAGAAGAAAATTTTCCTAACCTAAAAACTAGAAAGCTTACGCGAATTGAGTGGTGTAAAATAAGGCGCTTGATGGGAAAGCCTCGAAGATGTTCACCAGAATTTTTTGCTGAGGAAAGAAGCTCATTGGAAATGAAGCGGAGTAAAATCCGACAACTGCAGTTGAGAAAAAATGTTGATTTAGAACATTTTAAAGATCTTCCTAATGAAATACCTTTACCACTTGTAATTGGAACAAAAGCAACTGCACGTGTTCGTAGTCCACAAGATGGGCTCTTTTATGGCTCTATTGATGCTGTTGATACATCTAACTCAACGTATCGTATAACATTCGATCGACCTGGTTTAGGTACTTTTTCTATTCCAGATTATGAAGTTCTCAGCAACGACCCTCCTGAAATGATGCCGATATCAGCATTTGCTCAAAAGTATCGACCAAGAAGTATTTATTTTACACCTCCACGTTTTGTCCCTATTTCTCCTTGGCCTCAATTAGATAATGATCCTCTTCTTGGAGAAGCAACGTCTAAACCTGAACTTTCATTTGTTGAAGATGGCATGTTAGGTGGTTTCCCAAAGAAATTTCTTGCCCTTTTAGTTCGACTTACAAAAATTCTTGCAGTAAAGAAAAAAAATTTAACTTTGTTGAAAGACATGCATACAACTGCAGAACGAAATCTTTCACAGGGGCAACCAATGACATTAGAATTTCAAAAAGCATATGCGACTTTGGTTTTAAAATTTGAACAGCTGGACAAAGACTTGTGTGAATATCTAAACAAAGTTCAAACTTATTGTCAAGAAATAGCCCCAGAACAAGGACTTCAACCTGTTCTGCAGCCAAGTACCATAAAAGAACAGTGTTTAAAAGAAGCTCTAGATTATATAGAACAAAAAAATGGACAAGAGGATTTTCCAGTTGTTAAAAACCGAAATATTGTGATGCTGATAGCTCAGCTGTCATCTCTTATGTCACAGTTAAAACATTTATCCACCAGTGAATATAATTCATTTGAATTTAAATCTCTTTCTGATACACTGGTAGAAATTCAATCTAAGCTTCATAAGCAAAATATTTCAATATTTAAGAATGATGTTGAAATTCATATCAATCATATTCGTGATGGTATTAGTCAGATGGGTAGTTTACATCCTTTTTCTACACAGAACATGTAAAATATGTTGATAAATTATTTATTATATGGGTTGTTTTAAACATTGATATTCTTCCAGTTGCATATTTTTTTATGGACAAGTGTTTGTTTTTATTGTATTATATAAGAGTATGCATCATCTTATTGCATAATTATTTAGTTACTTTATTTTGTATTTTCTATCAAAATTATAAAGTATTTATTTGAAACTTTAATTGATAATTATTTTATTGTATATAAAATTAGTGACTGTCTTACAGGTTTGTAGCTGAAATTATTTTGTGAGGCAGTAGGTAACTTTACTTTTTCATTTATTAAAATTTAGAATTTTTGTCATAAATAATTTATTTTCTATAACTTTGTAGTTTTTTAAGATACTATATTCAGATATGAATAATTCATAATGATTGAATGACTGCAATAATACTAAGAAAAATAAAATCATATATGATAGATTTAACGTTCAGTGTTTCTTAGATTTAAAAATTTTCATCGAAGGACTTTTCATAAGCGGTCTTAAAGTCATTGAGATTTCTGTTTTTAAATTCTACCAAATAGAATTCAAAATCTTTTTTATAATAGTAGTTGCTAAAATTTGATTGTTTATTTTATTTTGGATTTGGTCTTCAGAACTGATGTCTGATACTTCAGTTCTTAAAGCAGGTATTTGGTTAATTTAATAAGTTGAAAACTCCATCAGATAGATATAAGTACAAGGTGATATGAATGTTAAAAAGCAGTTAAAAACTTTTATTTCAGGGAATTTCTAACATAAATAACACAGGTTTTTATATAACAATATTTCATATAATTGACAGAATTGCCACATAAGGGCATTAGATATGTATATTTTTTAAGGTTTTTCTGTAAAAGTTTTGTTTAATCAAACAATATTGTATCATAGAATCCTCAGTATATTGCTCAACTTTTGTGCTTTCACTGTCACATGTCTACACTATTAGGTTATTTTAACTTACTAGGAAGCACTGTTCTTCCAAACTTAGAAGCATTTGATTTTGTGACAATAATGAAGAATGGAGTATCATTTTGTATTGCAATTCTAACTTTCAACTGTTGGAGAGAATTAAATAATTAATCCGGCTAATCTTTGGAATATGGTAACAGGTAGTTTGGCGACATTTTGGTAAGGCGATAAAGGTTACGGTACTCTAGGACTTAGCAGTGTACATGGATAAAGTCAAGAGTGTGCCAATGCCATTTTGCAATTCTGGGATGTTTTTTAAGTAAAAATAGGTTGACTGTACATGGATGATTACCGTGTATGTGCAATTCTTAAAAAACGCGGGCAGCAGTTTGCAATTCTGCACTTTCTCCCAATTCTGCACCTAATCTAAGTCATGATTAAGTACTTTTGTTCCATAAAAGTTCTAGCATAAGAGTAATTCGGCTAGCAGATTGTTGGAAAAAAATGTTGAGTAAAAAAAAAAAAAAAAAGCCTTTACTTTGTGAAAACAAAATGGCGTCCAAACATAAACTAGCAGGTTGCTGTAGCAGGGTTGGCCACCAAATTTTTGCCAAAAAATCGCCAAGTTACCATAATCCAAAGATTAACCATTAATCCTATTTGCAGTATGAATGATCATTCAGATCACTTTATTGTGAATCTTGGTGATGGAATTACGTGAAGTTACAGGTATATCAAGATCTCCCACTGTCATTAGCAAATTTTAAAAGGTACTATGTAATGAATTAACATTAAAGACATGTTTCTATTATCTGTACATCTTATTTATCTCGAGATGAAGCTTGATAAAGTATTAAATATTTCAGTTTTTTTTTTTTTTTTTTTTTTTTTTTGTCTGTGTGTGTAGATGAAGTATTGATAAATATGATCATAATTAAATAATTTGGGTAACAAAATTCCTAACACTCCTTATCCCCTAAGTTTTGTACATTTCTGTGTGTATTAGGATTCATTACACATTCAATGAAATTAAAATTTTTTAAATGTTTATTCACATTCACTTATGTATGATTTATGATAGTAGCTTTATGATATAATCCAGTTAAATTTGCAAGTAATCATCTGTTTATAATCCATTGGCAAATGGTTGGGTACTCTTCTGTTATTGGGAGCGGATTCAGAAATTTATATATGCATGTGTGTACTCATACATACATTTATACATAATATGCAGATACATTTATAAATACATGCATATATACATACATTTCCAAATCCAGTCTTCATAACAGAAGAGTACCATTGTTTGTGTATCATTTAATTGTTTGGAGGAATGATATTCTAGTGTTTAGTCTCTGTTATCAATTAATGAAAAATCTGTATGTATGTTCCTCATGTGGGATCTAGAGCCAACAAATCTTCCAGCCAATCCATATGTAATCCTCCAGCCGTACACATCATGCCAATCCATAAGTAATCCTCCAGCCGTACACATGTGCACTTTGAAACCAAAATTTTGAATTTCAAATTTGTTTTGATTTTTATATTTTGTTTGAAATTAATGAAATTTTAATGAAGGAACACATTAATTTGAAAGCAGTCTGTTGTCACTTGGTAAAATATAAGATGTTTATGTTTCAAATTTAATCGTAAAGCTGTGCAATTTGAAAGAAATTTTTTGCCAGGACCTGAAATAAAATATTATTAACATCCACACACCAGTGTGGTGCTATTCAATAAAGCATAAGATATTTAATTTTTCTTTGAAATTCAGTGTGTCTGTTATTGGTTAGCAAGTTAAACAATTTAAAAGCAATAAGTGCAGATCACCTGTCTTTATTATTAATTACTGGATGGTCCTGTGAAATTACAGTAGATGGGCTTATTAAAATCATTAAATATATATATTTTTTTGTAATAACTATTTTATGCAACTGGCTGCATAATTGGCCAGTGTTACTTAAAATGCAGAACTTAACATTTCATAATATATTTATATGTATGTGACAGGATCTGATGCTTACAGACCTCATATAATCTGCATGTTGTTATGTTATATTAATGATGCATATATTAGATGCATCTCTGTTTCATATTAAGTTTGCATTTGCAGCATAACATGAGATGTGTTGGACTCATTATATTTTGATTATTTTGCATTTTTAAAAAATTTATTCACAATGCTGGGAACACTCAGTCTGTTGATTTGGTACAATATTATTATTAATATTCATAATAATAAAGCATATTCCATTTATTTAATTCACTTCTGAAAATAATGCCAGCAGACTGACAAATTTTATGTTTTAGTTTAATCATAACTGCTAAATTTCCTAGTGTTTCATATCTTCCAGTTTCATGGTAGATAACCTAATATCCTGTTATTAATTTTTAACCTTTGCTAAAAAAATGTTTCTCAATAATAAGTGAAATTTATTGAATTAATAAAACTTAAATTACACATAATCCATTCTCACAACCTTAATGATTTTCTGCTTTTTCTTACAAAATTTTGTTTGGGTAAAAGTATATTTACAGGTACCACTTAGCGAAAATTGCTGATTTTTGGCGGTACATGGATACCAAGTTTGTGCAATTCTTTGACTTGTTATTTTAGCTTTGGGTAGCTGCGGTTTTAGCGCCAAAAGTCGCCACTACACAAAGACAGAATAACAAGTCAAAGAATTGCACACACTCGTATCCATGTATACATTGACCTATTTTCACTAAAAAAAAAAAAAATCACAGAATTGCACAAAGTAGGCATTTTGTACTCCCTTGACTTTATACATGTACACATCAATCTATTTTCACTTAAAAAAATCAGAGAATTGCACAAACTTAACACTGTGCACTCCCTTGACTTTGTCCATGTACACATCAATATATTTTCACTTAAAAAGTCAAAGAAGCATCCAGTTCTACATTAGAGGCAAACAAAAAATACATTTTAAACCAAACAATAAAATAACATAAAAAAGGAAAAACCTCTTAAGCATCTAAGCACTACACAAAGCAAATATCTGCTTACCTTATTTAGAAATTTCTTCAGTTTTAGTCTGTGGCTCACAAAATTCCTTAACAGCATCCAAAAACGTCCTAAAATTATCTGAACTCGAATCCGTATATCGGCATTGCCACATAAATTCACAAAAGTATCCTCTGTAGTTCCGGATTGTCTGGAAAGTGGCTACTAAGTAAACCTTCGTTTACACACCAGTCAATTATTGCTCTTTTCCACTTTCATTCCCAATTGTATAGAAACTTTAAATTAATCTTACTACATTCAGCCATTCTACCCTCTAAACAACAAAACAAAGCAATATACTTCCTAACCAACACACACCACAAACAAGCCCTTACAAAACATTCCATAATTTAAAATTTACCACAATCATAGCAACCGATTACTTCATAATAGGGTTTCCAAAACATTCAAAAACTCAGGTTACCATAAATGAAACAAAAACTTTGCGATAATACAAGAGGTACCCTTCGGTCTACTCTAACCTTTATTTGGTCTGACATGTCTTAATTTGTTGTAACCATTTTTAAAACTATTTATTAATACTCAATAAATGTTTAATCAGTTAATATTTATGTTTAACTGCTTTACATCAATAAAGAGTACATCACTAAGTTGGTCCATGCAATAGTGTGTATACTAGTTATTAATTTTATTATTTATAAATGTGCTTTGAACCATTCTAATTAGAGGGGAGCAAAACCTCTCTTTTATTGGATTGGATCAGTATGGTTCACTCACTGAAATGAATTGGTTCTTTTTTGTGACTCATTGTAGTATCAGTAGTGAGCGCACTAACAATAATCTTGATGAAAAAGATGATGCGGAAAACTATTGCTGAATTAAGAGTGGTTAGCCAGGGTGGAGCAAAGAGTGGAAAGTTTCAAATGAGCAGTGGGATTGGTACCAATTAATGAGGTTAGAGCAAAGAATCAAACAAGGAGTGGGGTCAGAAAAATTGACTCAATCAAATGCGAACTCCCTGAACTGATTTCTTTAAATGTAGTTTTTGAAATTTCCTAAAACCTTTCTTTGGAGAACTAATAATAAAATTATAAAATAAAAAATTTTCAAAAAGTTGGGCAATGATAAAAATTAAACTTGCTTTTAGAATGGGGGAAGGGATAAATATTTTTTCCTTCCTTAAAATAAAAATCGAACATTTGTGGCATTTTTCTAACAGGAACTATATTCTTTTTTCACTCACTTTACTGAGCGAGGCATAAGCTCATTCAATAAAGCGATCAGTTTGTGAATGAACAGCAGATCTCTATTCCTAGCAAGCTTCCAACAAAGCTCTTTGTGAACTGTAAAAGAGCTGAAATCGGAGTAAATTCACATAATAAAAGGAATTACTTCCAGTGTGATAATAATCCTGATTGGTATAGTGACTGAAGATGGCCGCTGTATCATTGGGTGTGGGTCAAACAGCACATCTTGGAAAAAGTCTGGATGTTTGTAAATATATAGTGTCGATATGGTATGTGGGCATTTAAAATGCATCATACGTTCAAAGTTCTTTTGAATGGCTTGGTTTTTAAGACAAAGAAGGTGGGAGATACTTGGATCTGTCCTTCTTCCCCAGGGATTTTATATTTTCACGTACAGTGTGTTCAAGCCCTATGCCAACAACAGATGTAATCCTGCATTCCTTGCCACAATTAACTTTGTTGACTTGTTTCAATATTATTATGAAATAAGTCACAATAAAAGTGCTTATGTAACTGAAAGGTGTTCTTTACTCAGGATTTCATAAAAGTATAAAAAAATTACAAAATGGAATTAGCTGAAGAATGTAAAATTTATCCAATTTAATACTAAAATATTTTTCATCAGAATCGCATAGTAAATAGTTCGGTAACTTGAATTGTGCATTGTAAAGTGAATTTAAGTCAGTGTGGAGTTCTTTTCAATGGCATCACTGCACTGCTTGGAAAATTTCCTGGGAATTCCTGGTTTTTCCCTTTTCCAAATTGACAGCTATGGTTTAATAATGGAATGGAATTTATGAGTGTAAAGATTTTCCTTATGTATGAGCATTAAGGATAACACCAGCCTGCAAAATTTGGGTCATATCATGTTTTTTATCTTCTGTGAATAATTTCAATGTATTTTTTAGTGCTATTTGGTGTAACATCCAACAATAGTCAGCCATTATCAAAGTAGTTAATTTTCCTTGAAACTTCTTTTCCCTGTCTTTGATTGTCTTCATAAAAATCTCTCACCCATCTCTTCTCTAATTATAAAGTGAATT